GCCGTACTTGTACTTCTAAGACAGATTTGTTTGTTCTTTTGGCAGTCCACGGTCCTTTCTGTCCTTTTATTTTTTGGTACTTTCAATACTCTTCACCAGAACCTTAATTCAAATGCATCGATTCTTCTTCAGTCTTATTATTCAATGTCCAAATTTCATGTGCATATGAGGTAATGAAAGCACCACGGGGTGGGTCAGGCCCACCTCAGTGCTCAACGGGACATCCTTGCTCTTCCACACTCTAACCAGGTCTCGTGCTGAACACAGCCTCCCTGCAGTGGGCTGTTTGGTCTCTTGGCTGCTGCTTCCCTGAGAATCGATTGTAGATCCAAGCAAGAAGAAATCCTTGACAACTTCAATCTTTTTTCTCCATTAATCATAATCTTACCTATTGGTCCAGTGGTGAGGATTTTGGCTTTTAAGTGCTTCAAGTCCTCTTCGCTTCCTGGGAGCAAGGTTATATCGTCTGCGGGTTATTAATAAGGCTTCTTCAGACCCTGATGTACCTCTTTCCTGATTTTATTTTATTATTTTGTTTTTGTTTTTGTTTTTTTTTATCTTTCCTGATTTTAAACCCAGCAGTCTTGCCTCCGTTCTGTTTGCACAGCTGCTTCTTGCTCAATGACAGGCTCCGCATGAGCACAGTGAAGAGTTCGGGATTTCCCGTTCCTTTCTGGCTGTCTCTAGTCCGAATAAATGTCTTTGCATAGACCATCAAACACAAGTAAACATCGCTCTGATGTTCTCTGCTTTCACCAAGGTGGAAGACCAAACTCAAACTGAGCAAACTAGGGCTGGAAGAAAACGTCTTCCACCTGATGAAAGGAAGCTACAACAATCCACAATGACATCATAGCTAGCGATCAGGGACAGAGAAGGAGCCTCTTATTTAAAACAAACAAAAACTAACAAGGAGGAGAAATGAAAGGTATGAGAGAATCGGAAAGGTCGAAACACCACTGTCATTGTAGGCTGATGACAAAATGATCTGAGCAGAAAAGCCAAAGACTTTACCGGAACAACACCTCCCAAACACCAATAACCTCCAAATATCTACTTTTAGATCTTAGTGATAAACTGGGAGCCCTGGTGGCAGCGTGGCTACAGGCTGGGCTGCTGATGGCAAGGGCAGCAGTTTGAGACCGCTGGCCCCCCCACGGCAGCAAGGTGGGGCTTTCTGCTCCCGTGAAGAGTCACTGTCTCGGGAACCCCCAGGGGCAGTGCTACCCTGACCTCTGGAGTCGCTGTGCGTCAGAACCAAAGGGAGGACAGTGAGTGTGGCTTGGGTATGGAGTAATAAACTTGTGAAAAAGTAACTAGGCAACCAGCATCAGAAGCATAAAGTACTTTACAATAAGTGTGACAAACGGCATGCAGCACTTCACCTAACTGAAAACAAAACTTAAAGAAAAATGAATAGTTATGAAATGTCCAAGAATTGGGAGTCTCAATGTTGTAAGTTGTCCATTCCCCCTGAAAGTGAGCTATAGACCCCAAACACCAGACTGCCTGCCACAGAGTCAATTCCAACTCCTAGTGACCTGGAAGGATGGGGCAGGGCTGCCCCACAGGGCCCCTAAGGCCATTATCCTTACAGAAGCAGGTGGACACATCTTCCTTCCACAGAGCGGTTGGTGGGTTCAAACAGCCAACCTTTATGTCAGCAACCAAGCGCTTAGCCACTGTGGTGCCGTGGTTTTTCCCTCGGATAGCCAAACCCCATAGCCATCGAGTCAATCTAAACTCAGTGACCTTACACCGGGTTTCCAAGGCTGCAAATCTCCAGAGCAGCAGTTCTCCACCTGTAGGTCGAGACCCCTTTGGGGGTCGAACGACCCTTTCACAGGGGTCGCGTAACACCATATTTCCGATGGGCTTAGGAACCGAGACACCACTCCTCTCTCCATCTTCAGGCAGGTACATCCACATGTAGATATGCCCACATATGGGGTCAACACAACATGGGAACTGTATTAAAGGGTCGCGGCATGAGGAAGGTTGAGAGCCACTGCTCTAGAGGCACAAACAGCCTCATCTTCCTCCTGAGGAGCAGTGGGTGGGTTTGATCGACTAACCTTATAGTTAGCAGCCCGAGAGGCCCCGCTTCAACTGTAACTTGTCTTGTCTTGTTTCACATACCTGTAGCTAAGCGAACAGGCTCACTGGAACACTCAGCGGTTATTCTGCCCAAAACCAGTCAGAGGTCCCCAAGCATGCCAGAGGGTGGGAGGGGAAGGGGAAGTCACAGGCCAGCAGGTAGACAGGTGTGAGCCTGGGTGAAGGGGATGCCAGTACCCCACAAGAGGAAGGTGGGTAAAGTAGCACAGAGTAAGACATCGGAGGCTTGAGGAGTTATTGAGTGGAAGGCTGATGCTCAGCTCTGTAAACCTTCACCTAATTCACGTTGAAAGATTTTTTTTTAAAGGAAATGAAACAGTCAAAGGTTAATGAACATGTCTTGAAGAATCCAGGCACTACAGCCATGGCTCATGATCTTGTGATCAGCGTCTTAGCAAGGTTTCTGTTTAAACTTGGGTACTGTGGGAACATATACTGCTCTCGTATAAGATTTGTGTTGTGCCAAACTCATCCACTAATGAAAAAATACTTTTTGTGGATCTTCAAAGTTCCTGACAAAATTCCATATGAACACCTTGAGACGTTTAATGAATCCGAGCGCAGATTGGCTTGATAACTGACACGCTGCCCGATCTGCAACTGACCATTAAATCGGCACAGCCATCAGCTCGTGGTGCCCCAGCTGCTCGCTTTCGGCACTAATCTAGGGTGACAAGAATCAGAACCGAAAGTAGATGGCAGCCTGGCTAGAAGGAATCATGAAGGAGCCCAGCAACGCTGTTGTGACCATGGACCAGCATCCCTACAGGGCACGCAGCGACCGCAAGCTGCTTGCCACATCCGATGGTGGCACTGTTCTCGGATTGTCTGTCCCTGCAGGGATGTGAGTGTCCTAGATTTTCTTTAAGGCTGTGGTGACATGGGCTGTACCGTTATTAAAACTAAGTTGCATACTTAAGTTCTAAATATTTAATTATCTGCCAAATTTATCTCAGTGGGGGGAGGGGGGATAGACACACACACACACACACACACACACACACACACACACACACACACCATCACTAGATAAACCAGTAAGACATTTCAGAGCATGGCCGAGAAAGCATAACCTTCCTTCCAGAGCAGGAGTTAGAACAGCAGAGTGACTCAGAGAGACGAGCTCCTGGCTGGCTCTCCTGTGTCTATCCATTGGGTCCCAGACCACTGACTCCGGACTACCTTGAGTCAGGCTGCGCTGTGGGCACAGGCAAGAAAGATAAGGTACGTGCCCGTAGCGAGCACAGTAGTAAAAGTTTGTGGGGAAATGTGATGATCTTTTCATCCCATGTTACCATGAACCCTTTGAAGCTCCTTGCGTGTCATTGGGTCTAAAATAGTCCTGGGTGAACAGAGGTCAGAGAAGTCCTCTCTGAGGAAGTCACATTGGAATCAGACCAAGGGACAAAAGACATAAGGAAGAGCAACAGGGGCAGGTAGGAGAGAGAGTACAAAGGTCCCGAGACAGGAAGGAGAGAATAGGCTGGGGCTGAGCAGGGGTCAGGTTGTAGCCTGAGCACGTAGGCCTAGGGCGGGCCAGGGACGAGAGAGATTCTGGGTCATAGTCTAAGACCAGGGAACATCACTAAAGGGCTCAGCAGGCCAGTGATGTGATCTGCTGCCCTGAGGACTAGGGACAAGGCTGGAGGTAAAGTGACTCATTAGAAAGCTATCACAACAGTGTTTTCAACAACTGTGGGCAATTTGGATGAGGGCGTTGGCAATGGGGTGGGAAGAAGATGGATATCAGGCACCCGTGGACTCAGCACTGGCAGACCTTGCTGGCACATCAATTCAGTGTGAACGATGAGAGAGAGGGAGGGGAGGGACAGGGCCATTGGCTCAAACAAGCAGTTCGGGGGGTGGGGGGCCCCACTTAGGGGAAAATCATAGTTTCGTTTCAAGAAAGTGAATTCATTCCCAGCAAGTGGGAATGACGAAGGGGTGGTTGGCTGCGTGAGTCTGAGCACAGCAAGGAAGTCAAGGCTGGGGGTTAAAAAAAAGCAAGAGGTCATCATCACACGCATGGTATGGGAGCCAGGGCCAGAGGAGCTCACCCAGTCGCTCCGAGTGAAAAGAAGCAGGCCCAGGGTTGAGTCCTGGGTGCCCCGACATTATCCGGGCCTGTCACGGGCCGAGGCCATGAGGAGGGAGTCGTGATGTGGGAGGAGGGTCAGGAAGTTCAGTGCTGGGCTCTCAGTGGCTAGAAGGGCCTCTAGCATCCAGAGTTTCCTCCTGGAATAATTGCTAAATGTCTGGCGAAAGGAAGGGGGAGGGCAGGGAAGGGCTAGCCATGCTGGATGTTGCTCACAGATGCAGTCACAGGAGCCAAAGAGGAGCCCATCCATTGGGCACAGGAAGGGAAACACCAACAGTTGCTGAGGAGAAAGAGTCCCAGGAGTGGCAGGAACGGGGCCAGGAGACTCCCGTTTGGATGAAAATCAAAATGGCCATGGAATGTCAATTCAACCACAATCCCACAATGATTCAGAATCTCCCCACAGCAGCTCCCCGTGGCAAATGTGCTTCCTCATGCCTAACTGACGGCTTTCCAATAATGATTCCTCAGAGGATAGAAGGACCAGGCCGGCAAATCCCTAGCAGCACCAGGAGATGCCTGCAGGGTCCCCGGTACCCAGACTTGGAGATTCTACTCACTGAACACTTAACTGTTCGCATCCTGGGTCTGCACTCACCTAATGCCAAGTCCTGCCAGTGGGAAACCTTGAGCTTGTGATTCCCACTTCCCTAGTCCCCTAACCTTGTTTCCACACCTGAGTTTTCATCCTTCTCCGCTATCCCCTGGTGGTACTTAGCAGGGGTCCCAAAACTTTGGATCCCTCCCCTTATCAGATTTTACATCTATGGATGGATGGACTTACCAGGAACCGTTAGAACAGAGGGGGACTGTTCCGGTCGGTCATTAATGCGGCTGCTATTCTGGATCCAGAAAATGCTGACTGGCTCGGGGGGGCCTGTAGCCTGGCAGGTGAGGTTGAAGGCTGTGTTGCTGGTGACATTCAAGCTCTCTGGCTGCCTCGTAAAATAAGGGAGTCCTGTAGAGAAATCATAAAGGAGAACGTTTCAGAACAAAAGCAAAGATGGAGCTCCAGGGGAGTGGGGGTATAACTTTGCCAAGGGAGATTTTATTTTACTCATGACCTCAGGTCTACAGGGCCAGGTTTCACCTACTTAAGGTTGAGTCAGGGAAAACACAGAAGCTAATTCCTATCACTCTAGCTCAGGCTATCTTTCCAGAACACATTCCCAAAGGGGGTGTGAGACAGGTGAGCGAGAACTGGTTTGACCAGGTGAGAGGACAGGCAGCTGTTCTCAAGCCAGGGCAAGACCGACAGGTTTGTAGTACACTTTACTGAAGTCAACACAAAGTCAAACCATCGCTCTGCCACAGGTGCGTCCCTGAGTGAAGACAATCTATTCTGTGTCTGACTTTCAGAAACGTGCTCACTGGTAACTGAAAGGCTGGAGGTTCAATTCTATCTAGAGAGGCCTCAGAAGAAATCAGCCATAGAAAAAACACATGGCTTTCTAGTCATACACTACTGGGGTCCCCAGAACCAGAGTTGGGCAAACCACAGTGGATTAAACAGTTGTGTATGACTGAAGGATTTGGGAGCCTATTCTCACCCCACAGGGTAGACCTGGAGTCTCCCAGTGGCAACCCTAAGATCTCCTCCTGCAGTCCTGTGGCCTTCAATGTTGCTGACGAATAAGCAAGAAACCTTTGGGCCAGGGGAGTTGTGTGTGATGCCAGCACTGAGAACATGAATAATGGAATAGTCTTCAGGTTTTCTCATTGTAAATAACTTGAGGACAAGCAGGTCTGTAAACTCCTTTTATTTTATTTTTTTCTCACCCCTGGGTCTAGCATTATTTTCTCAGCATACAGATTGAGCTAAGTATGGTAAAGGGACACAACCCTAACACCTACCTCTCCTGAATTTAAACCATGTAGCACCGTCCCCTCATCTGTTTGAATGACCACATTCAAGTTCCACATGAACACAATTAGGTATGCTGGAATTTCCATTCTTTTTAAAAAAATAATTTTATTGGGGGCTCTTACAGATATTACAACAATCCATAAATGACAAATCAAGCAAGCTTGTACATATGTTGCCATCATCATTTTCAAAACATTATCTATTTGATTCTACTTGAGCCCTTATTATCAGCTCCTGTTTTCCCTCCCTCCCCCACCCTCATGAACCCTTAATAAATTATATATCACTATTATTATTTTTTCATATCGTACACTGTCCACTGTATCCTTTTACCCATGTTTCTGTTATTTGTCCCCCTTCAGGGGGTGGTATTAGACATCCATCATTTCTATCAGCTTCTCCTGTTCACCTCCCCCTCCCCTTATGGTCTCCCTATTCCCATTACTGTTTCTGAGGGGTTTATCTGTCCCGGACGCTGTGTTCTTATCTGTACCAATGTACACACTCCGGTCTAGCAGGATTTGTCATGAGAGTGGTGTGGAGAAGCAATAAAGAACCAGAGGAATTGTGTGTTTTGTCAGTGCTGTACTACACCTGGATGAATCGTCCCTTCCATGTGACCCTTCTGTGAGGGGATGTCCAATTGTCTACAGATGGGCTTAGGGTGGATCATGACAAATGTATGGCTAACATTGAGAAGAATGGAAATTTCAGCCAACAAACTCAAATTGATCAAATCCCACCAGGCATTTTACACCCTCCTGGCCGTCGATTTTAGGTCTCTTGTTCCCGAGTTTGTTATTCCAAGCCCTCTACGGAAATGGGCTTACATTGCTGGCAGTTCCCTGCTAATGTACTGCTGAGTGGGTATTTTAATTATTGTTAGCAAAATTCTACATGCGTGTGGTATGCACACGATTGCTCGATAATTTCTGTATTCTTTCAGACTGACTTATTTGCTAAGCAATTAATCCAACAAGTTGTATGATATGCAGAAGAATGAGACATCAGGATTACAAGAAAACTTACTAGCAACCTGTCAAATGGTTGGTTACTAACCAAATGGTTGCCCGTTTGAAGCTGCCCAGTCCGTCTATGAGGGGAAGATTTGACGCCCTTTGCTTACTGAGCCCAAGAGGATTGAGAGCCCTGACTGATGAAGATCGAAGACTCCAGTCTCCAACACGGATTATGCTCCAACCTACAGAAAGCAAACTCTTCACAAGTGGACCAAAGCCACAGCATGGTAAGTGGAGAAAATATTAAAGTTGTCGAGGCTTTTGTTTTGCTTGGATCCACAATCAAAACCTACGGAAGCAGTCACCAGGGAGTCAGCATCGCAATGGACACATCTGCTGCTGCTGCAAACCAAACCAAACCCTTCTGAAGTTTCACAGGGTGAAGATGTCACCCTGAGGACAGTGAATTATTCAGTGTGGCTCTTCTAGTCAAAGTCTCTGACTTCTACCAAACGACCTTCTCCTGCAGGGGCTTGGTAAGGAGGTGGGGACAACACTTATAGGATTCTCCTGTGAGTAATTGTGACCAGCTTCCCCGGAGTGGCATCCTGCTGTGTATAAAATAAGTCCTCTGAGAAGCAGGAGGAGGGATTTCATTCCCAAGGAGAGCCAGGGGAGGGGCGTGTCCTCTCGACCTGAGATCGCTCCACAGTGAGCCTTCTGGAGCAAGAAGACAAGCTACAATAGCAGAGGAGCAGCAGCAGACCCAGGAGCCAGAGTATGGAACAGAGTAGTGGACTTCTCAACCTACGGAACAAGTGAAGCTGAACACACTTGTTCAGGAGGCTGGCTTACTGGCATGGGGTGCCTCTGGGCACTTAACTTAGAGGCCTAGGTCTACTGACTCACGGGGCTTGAGCTGAATGCCTTCGGGTTAAAGCTTAACCGTGGAGTAGTACGCTTCTTTGGCCATTTATTAGCAGATCTGAACTTTGGCAACAATGTCCTGGAACATGACTACCTTGAATGTTTCTCACGGGCATTCCAACTTACAGTAACTTTCTTAACAAACCCTTTCATCATGTTTTGCCTGTGGGTTCTGTGTAGCCATTGCAGTGGATATTAGAAGTCGGAGAAGTAAAATAGAGAACATTCAGTCAGTACACACCTGCCCCCGAGTCATGGTCTCTTCCATGGTCTCCGATGCCCGCACAAGCTGGACGGCGACTGCGGAAGACCGAAGGAGCATGGTGCCTTTGACGCCGGGCGTTCACCGAGAATGCGGACTACACTGTGGACCACCAGGAGAAGGGGCAAATCTGTCCTCGAAAAAGCATAGCTCACATGCTCCTCAAGTACATTTCCAAAGCACCTGAGACACTGCCTCTAATACCTTAGAAATGGTATCGGGGAGGGCCGCTCATGAGAAAGCCATCACGTGTGCTTGGCGATCAGGACGAAGATCCACAAGCTGCTGGACTGACCCAGTGGCTGCAACAAGGGGCTTAAACCGAATAACTAGCGGGAGGAAGGTTGTACAGGTTCCCTGTGGCTCGGCACTGACTCGACGCCCTAACCACAATAACACCCATGATCGCACTATTATGTAACGTCTTAAAAAGACTGGAAATTGCAGTGCAGATAGATGTGTGAGGTTTGCACAGAGTTATAAATAGGCCGGCCAAACTCCAGCTGATTCCACAAAAAGCCATTCACACAGGCTGGAAAACAAACAGCTGCGTGGCAAGTGAACACCCTGTGGCCTCTGGACTTACCTTGCACCTCAACGTCGATGGGATCAGACACAATGTCGTCATCGTTTATTTTCATCTTGCACATGTATGAGCCATTGTCGGAACGCTGCACGTTGCTTATGCTTCGAAGAGAAACACACAGAGAGAGCTTGTCATCTTTTGGATTGGTGAGCACCAGGTCCCACTGTGAGAATATCAGATCGCCCGTGTCTGTCCCAGGCTGCTACCTGTCTAGAGTTCCATCTCAGGGGCCACACTTGAGAGTGTCCCTTGTGAGGCATTGCCCCCTCAAGACCTCCTGGAAGCGTGTGGGGACAGAAGGGGCACTGTGGCTTTTAGGGGCCAGGAACCACTGGTCCATATCCCAAAAGATCTTGTGACTAGGACCTAAATAAGAACTTCCTGCCACCGAGTCAGTGCCGGCTCATAGCGACTCTGTAGGGCAGGGCGGAACTGGCCCTGTGAGTTTCTGAGATTAGATAGATCTTCATGGCTGCAGACAGCCCTGTCTCTCTCCCCATGAAGCAGCTGTTCGTTTTGAACTGCTGACCTGTAGTTAGCGGCGGCCCAACTCGTAACCATTACGCCAGCCGGGCTTTTCAACTCCATTTTACACCAGGCAAACACTTTGCCCAGTTGTCATCGCCAACTTATTTTCCTGGTGGTGCGGTGGCTAGGTGCTTGGCTGCTAACCAAATGGTTGCCCGTTTGAGGCTGCCCTGCACGTCTGCGAGGGGAAGATTTGGTCCTCTGCTGCTCCTGTCAAGATTAAACCGAGATAACCTTTCGGGACAGGTCCTCTCGGTCCCATGAAGCCAGCATGTATGACGTTGACTCGATGGAAGACCGCAAAGACGAGGAAAGAGGAGGGCTGGTATCCTTTGTCCTGTTTGGAGTGTTCTTGTGACTCAGGGGTCACTCTGGAAGACTGCTCACTGACAGCACCCTGCACTGGCAGCTGTCCTGTGCACGGGGGCTCATAGAGTGCCCATGTCCAAGCATTTCACCATCTCTCGGGGTGGCCAAACCCAGCATTGACAGGCTGAAACCCATAGGATTTTGGTAAAAGCCACATGTCGCTAGTCTTCCTAATAGCATAGTTAAAACAATATATTTAAAACGAGCTGGTGTAAAAAGCTGCCTTAGCTCTAAGAAGTTAAGACCCTTCTCCCCCACCCCCCTTTTCTAAGGTGTCTACAACAGGAGGTTAGTTACATAGCATACACAAAGTTTGCACTCACTCAGGGGTGAGATGGGGAGAGAAAATCAGGAACATTTTTAAGCAGTCATATGCCCTGGTGGTATAGTAGGTTACATGTTGGGCTGCTAACTGCAAGGTCAGCAGTTCAGAAACCACAGCTGGTCTGTGGGAGAAAAATGAGGCTTTCTACTCCTCCAAAGAGTTACAGCCTCAGAAACCCATGGGGCAGCTCCTGTCCCACAGAGGTTGCCATCAGTCAGAATCGAGTTGGTGGCAACAAGTTGGGCTTGGCATTTGTTGTTGTTTTAAATATGCTATTCAACCTAAGACGCTTCTACTTCCCCAAAGGCACCTATTGCCTCTCTCCATATCAGGCACAGCAAAGACAGCCAGGCCCGAGGAAGAAAAGAAAAAGACGGATACAAAGGGGTCTGCCTTCCTTCTTGGCAACTGGCTTCCCTGCTTCCACTCAGCCCAAGGCAAAATAGAGCCCACCCCCAACGGGCAATGTTCTGAGGTTTAAGGCTTAAATTAGATCTGGAAGTGGTCAAATTCAGAGGGAGCTTCAACCTGGCCCAGGGACCCCACAGGCAATGGGTGGCAATCGCCAGCACAGCACATTCAGAACCCAGAGTAGATACGCAGCAGTGAGGTGGGTACCCCGGTCCCAGGAGCCAGCATTCCCACAGGGTGAACAGTTTTCAGGGCAAACATTTAACAACTTTAACACACGTTCTCCCCCCAACAATACCATCGCACAGGTCTGGTTAAGCTCTGCGAAAGACCAGTACTTGGTGCTGTCTAGTAGATTCTGACCCCTCATGACCACATGTGTGCTCCAGATAACACGGAGTAAGTAAAGTATACATCAAAACGTGTGTCAGTCAGAACTGGAGGTGGGGCCTGAGGACTAGGGGCTCTTCACTTAAGTGGTGGAGATCTGGGATCGTGTGCGCAGTTACGCATGAGTCCATCTGAGCGGTGCCTCTTGGACTTGAAAGGCTTTTGTCTTCTTTTTCTCATTCTGTTAAAGAGTGGTATCATTCTGCAGCTGATAAAGAAGGTCCAAGAAAGCCCAGATCTTTGCAGGCTGAAGGGCAGGCGTTAAATGTCACAGGATGTCTAGAGGCCATCAGGAATTGAGAGAGAGGGAGAGAGCGAGAGAGCTCACAGGATGTACATCTCAAAGGAAAGGCTTGCTGGCTCATCACCTGCAGGTTTCCCTGGGTGTCGTGGGAGATCCTCTGGGAAGATCAACGCCAAGACACACAAAACTCCCCAAGGAATGTCAGCCCCACTGCTGCTGAAAGGGGACAAAGGCCTTCCCCGGGAGCCAACGGAGCGAGAAAGCCTCCCCTGGCACCCCGAAGGCAGACTTCTAGGCTCCTAAGCTGGGAAGAAGTTGATTTTGCTATAAATTTCTGTTTGTTAGAGCCATCCACTCGTGGCATTTTGGTCACCGCGGCACTAAATAATGAAGACAGCTTCCAAAGTGGGATTCTCTCCATGCCTCTCACAGGCTCTATTCAGCAGACACAGAACGTTTTTGAGTTAGTCAAAGTCCGGGGGCTAGATAAAGTGGAGTAGAGGAGATCTGACCGGCTGAAGATGCCAGCAGCACCTTTGAAATCCTGGCTCGATCTCAGGGTCTGGGACTTAGTGTTCCAGCTGGCTTGAGGCCCGAGTTAGAGAGTGTGTTAGTCTGGGTTGACTAGAGAAACAAGTTCACGGACACTTATATATAAACAAGAAAAAGCTTTATATACTGTAAAGAGTAATTGTATATTAAGAAAATATCCCAGCCAAGTTCAGATCAAGTCCATAAGTCTGATAATAGCCCATATGTCTGATACCAGTCCGTAAATTCCTCTTCAGACACACGCAACACGGGCAATGACACCAACTTGCAGGGCGATCACAGGCCAGTGAGTGGAAAGTCTTGTGGATCCAGTGGCAGTGGAAGCATCTCAGCGCTGGCAGGGGTCTCCACGTGGCTTCTCCAGCTCCAGTTCCATCGGTGTAGTTTCATGTGGCTTGTCAGCAGGAAGATGATGCAGAGTGTGGGTCTGGCCTCCAGTGAGCATCTCCAAATGAGGTCATCAAGCTGTGACCTGATTGATAGGCTAGGCTCTACCCGGTTCACTCTTAATCCTCTCAAATTGACAGCAGATTATGTAAGTTACCACAGGCAGTTTTGCCATCTTTGAGGGTCTCAAATAATGTTCCAATCTTTTCAGTGTTCCTTGAGTTTTAGGTGGGGAAAATGGGTGAAGAGGCACAATCAGGGCTGTAGGGTGGATGGAGTAAGATTTCCCACCCAAATTCTCATAGAACAGTCCCTGCCACTCTCTGAGCATGAGCAGGTGCATTGCTATGGAATAAAAAAATTCTTTGGTCCAACTTTTTTTTTTAATGAATATGATTTTTATTTTATTATTTTTTAATTTAATCATTTTATTGGGGGCTCATACAACTCTTATCACAATCCACACATCCATCCATTGTGTCAAGCACATTTGTACAATTGTTGCCATCATCATTCTCAAAACATTTGCTTTCCACTTGAGCCCTTGGTATCAGCTCCTCACGGTCCAACTTTCTTGGCCTTTTACTTAGCAACTCAGTTTTCAGTTTTCTTTAAACTTCTTCCACGTAAGCCTAATCAATCATTCTGTGTCCTTTAAGAAAGCATATCAAGCGTATCATTTTGGAATCACAAAACAAACAAACAAAAACCAGTACTCATAACCTTTTGAGCCTCCTTCCCTTGAATGTAACTGTCCCAGTAGATCCCTTTGAAAGACACGGGTGTGATTGGACGTATTTTTATGAAGGCCCCAGAACTAACGAGGCAAAGAGCTGTGTCATACGGAGAGAACTGTCCTGTAGCCATCCGCTGAGCAAATGCACAGAGGCCTGTCGGGAGTAAGCTGGTGCCTGTGTGAACCAGAACCCTGGTCGTAATGCTGTTGGACTTAGCCACACGTGATGCTGTTCTGATTCTTTCACGAATGGCCTGCCTTTTCTCTCTCTGGATGCTTTTGGGACCTTCCCATTGTTACCGCTAGTGCTGGGACATTCCCTGACAAAGATCCTATGTTGTGGGACTGGTGAGGAGAGACCCATATCTTCACTTCTGGGGCATTTTCTTGAAATTTTTTTTCTCGCCCTCTCCTCCCACCTTCGGTCCCTACATTCTCTTTGTTTTCTCTTTCTGGAATTTTTTCCTCTGTTTTTTAAAAAATTCCTCAGTTGCTATTCTGAGCTTGGAGCTTTTTCAGCTGAGTCTCCAGAGATTGGACGTCCTGTCTTGGCTTGGTAGGCACCCAACCCCCCTGTCTCCAGTCCCATCGCCACTCCAGCTCGCTGGACGGGAGCCTTTTCTTGAATCTCTGAAAAGCCAGAGGTGGAATTATTTAGAGAAAACCTACCATAGTGGAGGAGAAATGGGTCTTGACTTGCTTGCTTACAATGCAGGCACATATTCCTTCTCACAGGTGATTACAAAACTCTTCCTGACATATGACTAAAGACACCATTTTATTGTCTACAATCTCTTTTCCCTCCTCCTGGGCTGACTTTGCCTCAGTGGCATACTGTTTATGAGGTGGACTGCTAATTGCTAGGTCAGTAGATCGAAACCACCAGTTGCTCCAAGGGAAAAAGATGGGGCTTTCTACTCCCCGTAAAGAGTTACGGTCCTGGTGAGCCTCAGGTCTAGTTTTACTGTCTCATTGGGTCACTGAGCCAGAATTAACTGGCAATGGGTTCTTGGCCATTTGGTGCGGTTTGGTTGCTCCAGTCAAAGGGTGTGTCCCTAAAGTGCTATTGGTGTTCTCTCAGGTTCAAAGGTGGCCTCTGCACATCTGTACTCTGCATCCCTGGGCAGGTACCGTGGTCCTTGGCTATCTTTCTCTCTCT